TGGCTCCAGCAGATCCCGGGAATAACATCGGAGATCTCTGTCCAGAAGAGCGCAGTCCTGGGAACAGCTAAGATACTGCGCAGGACCCTCAAGCTCCCAGGCCTCTGGTAGAGGACCCGAGCTTGAAGGATAAACCGCCCGCAGGGGCGTGCTGGGTGTTTTTTATAAAATCTAAAAACTCCCCCCGCTCACCCCTGTGGGTGGTCTATCCTTCAAGTTTGGGTCCTCTACCAGAGGCCTGGGAGCTTGAGGGTCCTGCGCAGATCTCCGATGTTGTTCCCGGGATCTGCTGGACCCACTCACCTAGTTTGGGAGTCACTGCACCTAGTGCTCCAATTACCACTGGGACCACCGTTACCTTCACCCTCCACATTTTCTCGAGCTCTTCTCTGAGCCCTTGGTATTTCTCGAGCTTCTTGTGTTCCTTCTTATGATGTTGCTGTCATTGGGCCACCGCTATGTCCGGTTGGTTAGCCACCACCATTTTGCCCGTCTGTATCCGGAAGTCCCACAGGATCTTAGCTCGGTCATTCTCCACAACCCTTGGGGGCGTCTCCCATTTTGACCTCGGAACTTCCAGGCCATATTCGGCACAGATGTTTCTGTATAATATGCCGGCCACTTGGTTGTGGCGTTCCATCTTTACACAGCCTGCACCTGGGGTTTTGCCTGGCGTGATAGACCCCAGCCTCTATGGATCTTGTACTCAGAGCTTGTTCTTGCGCTGCAATGATTAGTGCCTCTGTGCTGTCTTTCAGTCCAGCTTTGTCCAGCCACTGGTAGGATTTCTGGATATCAGCCACCTCCTCTATCTGCCGGTGGTACATACCGTGCAGGGGCCTGTCCTTCCATGATGGTTCCTGGCCTTCCTTCTCTTTCTTGGGTTTCTGCTGCCTGAGGTATTCACTGAGCACGCTGTCAGTTGGGGCCATCTTCGTGATGTATTCGTGGATGTTCGTTGTCTCATCCTGGACTGTGGTGCTGACACTCACCAGTCCCCGGCCTCCTTCCTTCCGCTTAGCATACAGCCTCAGGGTGCTGGACTTGGGGTGAAACCCTCCATGCATGGTCAGGAGCTTTCTTGTCTTGATGTCAGTGGCTTCTATTTCCTCCTTTGGCCAGCGTATTATCCCAGCCGGGTACCTGATCACGTCCACACTAGCCCGGATAGATTTGAAAACGGCGTTTTCGTCTGAAAACGCTCCGCGTCCACACTAGCGGTTTCAGTTGTTTTTACAGAGTTGTGCGTCCACATTGAAACAGCTGAAAACGCTTACGTTCCAGTAAGTTCCATTCCTGTCTGCCGCTTATTTACTTTCCGGCTCTTTGAAACGTTGCGGCAAAATGTTGAGGAAAAGCACCAAGTTTTTTAAAGATTAATATCAGTTTGAGGTGGAGTTGTTGCTGCGAGTAACACAAAAGTAGAAAGTTGCAAAAGCGAATGAGAATTAAGAATTAAAGAATTTAAGAAAAGCTACCTGAAGCATGTACAAACTGATATTAATCTTTAATAGGGCTGTTAAAGTTGAGAGCAAACAAAACAACTGCTGTATAACGCCCTCCACTATCTTAGTTTAACTGGTCACATGACTGCATCATATGACTAACATGCGCCATCGTTTTAGAAAGTCTGCGTTTTCGCTGTCCACACTGCAACACGAGAGCACCGTTTTGAAATGTATGCGTTTTTGAGAGTGTTTTCAAAACGCTGCATTTTCCATCACCGTCTCAGTGTGGACGGGAGGCCAAAACGGATTGAAATCGATTATGCTGGACATCACCGAGTGAAAAGCAATATTAGGAAATCTTGGAAAAGTAGGGTGGGTTATTAAGCCATTTCCATTTCTACAGTGGAAAAAATCACAAGTGGTAAACATTCAAGATAGTAGCTTGAACGTCCACTCTCAAGAGTGGATGTGTGATGCAATGCAATTCTTAGAGAAACTGCAGAAAACAGGGGATTTTACAGGCAGTTAGCAAGGAAAATGTTGAAGTTCATAAAAGTACAATTTAAAATAGACTGAAAAAAGTATGTCTTCTTTGGAAGGGATGCTATGAGGTAGCTTCTTCTCTCTAAAAACAACATGGCAGCACAGATTAGGTTTGCAAAATTGCATCGGAACAAATCGAAAGACTTCTAGAACAATGAACAGACATAATGCACATTGCTACTCACCAGCTGTCAAGCACGGTGATGGAGGGCTTATTTTGCAGTCACAGTCAATGCTCAGGGTTTTGTCTTCACTCTAATGATGGGTGGGCATCATGGACACCCAGCTTATCTTAGTAGGCGTGGTCTATCTCGTCCAATCTAAGTTAAGATCTTGAACGAGGTAGTTTGAATATCAGTGACCTAGATGTCAGAGGTCAAGTTTTCTGAAAATCTTGTGAACATGATAATTTGAGAAAGACATCACCTAGGATTTTCATATAGGTACCATACATTTTTCAGTATTAAGCTTTACTTGTTCCATATTCAGTTTTTCAGCAAAACGTGTTTGAGTCCATAAGAAAAGATTCATTCTTATATCTGGAGGAATAAATATATTTCAATAAATATTAACCTTAGCCAGCGACTTTGTTCCAGTTTTGAATTTTGGCCACTGTGTATTTGAGTTTGACACCCCTGCTTTACACCATACATCAGAGAGGCATGCCATCCACAATACTGCTCGACAAAAATAATTAGTTGTGACGTCTACAGTCGTTTGGGAGTGTTTATCACTCACCTAAGGCACTGTTATACTTAACTAAACAATGTGACATACAAATCACCAAACATGAATGGTATTTGATGAGACAATTACTCAAAATTCCTGCAGTACACGTACATGTACATAGCAGGACAGAGCAGGTAATCACTTACAACAACTTGATGTGTTCTAATAGACTTAAGATTAAGTCATTACAAAATACATTGGAGCGGGTGCCAGTTTGGGGAAGCTGTTTCGTGCACAAATGTCTTGAATAATGTGGCCGAGATGGACGTCGCCGTTTCGCCTAATTGCATTTTAATGTATGTGGCTAGAGACCAATTGTATATGTTGTACGCCTTATAAGTTATCATTAATTTAAGGATCAGATATAGTTCTTTGAAACTATATATGATCATTTAACATTTGTATGGCCCTGTAGCGTCATCTGTTTATTGAAAATAAAATACAAAATTTTGCTTATAGTACTGTTTTTCTTTTATAACCATTCACTAAAATAAACACCGTTTCAACCAAGTTACATGCTTGTTTGATGTTTCAAAGCAGGGACTTCATCGGGTGTTTTACTTAATGTGTAAAAAATATCTATTTACTGTATTCTTCCTCAATAAATCAAAGCTGAACAGAAGTTTAGCATTAAGCATCAAAGCCTTTGGCCTGACAGTGGTCTTGTGATCTTTCTTACATAACAGGGACCTGACCTCAACCTTTGCAAACACACACACAAACACACACACAACGAGAGAGAGAGAAAAAGAAAAGAAGTCCTTGAGTCGAGGCCAGAGCTGGAAAGCAGAGTGGCTGAGAAAGCAGCTCGTAGCCCCCAGTGATTACAGTGGAGAGAAGACCCCACCCACCATCCCACTTTGCTCAGATAACAGCCTCGTTGTTGGACGCAGGACCCAAACAAAGACGACCCTGTCGCCTCTCCTCTTGCTCACCATAGTCTCTGTATCTGGGCTTTGATTTCCTCCATGGTTGGCCAACAGGTATCTGTAAACCAAAGTTACCTGACCCATTCTCAGCCAGCTTCCCCTCTGTGCACAATCCTGAGGACACAGGATTGGCTGAATAAGGAAACTTTATATAGCTGGAGTGGCCTGATGGGATCAAAGGGAATTTGGGTTTTCCAGAATAATAGGGAGTTAAAAAGTCATGACTTTGTTGAATTGCTAGGGAAAAGTGTGTGTCCTTCGTATATACTTAACTGTCCCGCAGTCTGTTAGGTAACCATGACCATGATGAACTCAGTAAGAGAAAATACTTAACATTTGGCTCAAAGTTGACCTGTTAGATGTGTGAACTCTCATTACAGATAAACAGATACAGACAAAGAAACAGAGCTGCTGTTCTGGGATCAGTTCATCAGCAAATAAATCCAGAAAACAAAGGGTACAAAACGAATGAATATTATGAGTCGATTCAGTGAAATTAATGTAACTGTTGTTTTTTTAACTTGCGTCATCAGGATGGTGTTATCTCGGTAAAGGACATCGACCTGGTGATGTCAGAGGGACTAGGAATGCGTTACGCCTTCATAGGTCCCATGGAAACAATGCACCTCAATGCACCTAAAGGTAAATTTCCTGGTTTGTATTCTTTGCTCACATATAAAAACACTAATTTTGGTTATTTTTTAACTGAGTTTAAGATACTTTGAGCATGAATTTTATATAGTTGAACCAAAGACTTGATGATGTCTTTGTTCTGTTCAATTCTCCCAGCAAAATCATTCCTTTTTACCAAAAAGCCTTTCTTCATAAGGGAAAAGGAGTTCATAAAATGTCTGTTTATGAAGAGGAAAGCATAATTTATCCAGCACAGTTTCAACTGTGCGGTGTCCAGTTTCAATTCTGCCAATCAGAGTGAATGTACAAGCCATGTATGTTGTGGAAAATTACTGAAACTAACCAAAGCACAGGCTTTTGACCATCAGCGACTGCAGTAAATGAGCACAGAAGGCCTTTGACTGAGAGTAATGAAGGTAATTCACCGCTTACATGAAATTTTCAAAGTGGCACAGCGTTTCATACGTGTCGCTGGACAAAATACATGTAGTGTACCACACAGTGACATCTCTTTGTGTGTCAGAGAGAGAATGAAACCTCAGCTAGATGGAGAATATCAGAGGGGAGTGTGAAACCCAGAGAGTAACCCTGACTGTGTACACACACACACACACACACACACAGTGTGCACTTTGGCTGAACAAAGCAGTCTTTTGATGGGTAGCGATGAATGCGCTCCCTCACACCAGTCATCCAAAACTCACAGAGCTCACCTCGCAGCCTTCAGACCAGGTGCCAGCTCTACCTGTAGTTACAGTACTGAACTTCTTACTGACTTTTTTTTCTGTTCAGGAAGCATCAGATTCTCAAAAGAATGCTCAGACCTACCCCTGTTGTGTCTTCAAGTCTTTAAATCAATCCCATCAGATACTGGAGCACTCAGGCTCCCTGTCTCTGTCTGCTCTACCTAAATTTCCTTGCTTTTGTAAACTGTGTGCGTGCACACAGGAGATGCCGTTGTTCTTTGAAGGAATCATCCACTACAACTAAAACCACTGCCTGCAGTCTTGAAGAATGGCTCATCGATGCATATGATGTATTCAAATATGAATGCAATTTCACAGAAAAGAGCATTAGAATGATGTCTTTTTAAAACACTATGTAGTAAGGGCAGCTTGTCCAACATTCAGCTGACCATGCACAAATTGTTTCATTAGTGTCAAAGTACAGCTAGCAGTGCAAGACACAATTTAATGTAACAAGATTATGAGCACAGTACTGCAAATGGGTGGAAGACAAGTTGCAAACTGGGTGACATTTTCAAGGACTGCTGCTGTTATCTGATTGGAGTTACAGTGGTAACATTAGTGTCCCGTCTTTTCTTCTACTGTACAAATAGCTGTTGTGTAGGGGCACAGGGAATAGGGCTCCCTGTTTAGTGAGGCTTTACATAAAAAGATATATAAGAAAAAAGTTCAACAATAACAGCTAAAGCTTATTTGGGAAAAGAAATAAAGCAAAGGGACTGAAATAAGATTTTCCTCCCACAGAGGGTTTTTGGTTGAAGGTAGATGATAGTTATCACACTGTCGTGCCACATTAACGTGTCCCACTAGGCTTTATGTAGACAGTAAGCGTTTTCTAGCTACCCCGTTGTCACGTGTTGGATATAAACCTCATTTCCCAAAGAAGTATTGCAAATATAAACATTCACCATATGTTTTCTGGTCGTTGAATAAGGTTCCACTCTTTGAAAATGTGTTGAAAGAACTATTTAAAACTGAGCCCCCTGATCCACCTTAATAAAAGTCATGTGAAGTAATGTAGGCACATCTCTTCCCCCCCCCC